TCACATGAGATCACGTGTTCACATGTGGAATTAATGTGGTTTTTCCATAAGGGATTACATGCATAATTGTTGTATGTATTGCTGCTGCATAAGCCTATATATGTAGCCAGCCTTAAGGGTTCCATTCAAACTGTAAAGGGTTTTAGTGTAGGGTATGCTCCCCTGTATGAGAGAGAGTCAATGATGCATGTCTATGGAGAGCGCAGCTGTTTAAAATTCCAGTCATGTCTCCGGTGGTTTTATGGTGCCACCTAGTGTACAAATAGCCATCAGACAGACAGACCATGATTACTGCGCCACTAGTTTTATGAGAGCTCAAGGGCCTTCTCTCTCGCTCTCTCACTTTCTCTCTATCCCCTGCTTTCTGCTTTCTCTCTCTCAGTCTTAGATCTCTCTCTCTCTCTCTCTCTCTCTCTCTCTCTCTCTCTCTCTCTTTCCTTTTCTCTTTCCCTTCTGTTGTTTCTTTCACTCTCTCCATCTCTCTTTCTCTCATCTCTCTGTCTGTCCCTCTCACCATCTCTCTCTCCCCTTTCCCGCCAACATCTTTCTTTCTTTCTCTCCTCCCCCCTCTCCAGTCCCCCCCCCCCCACACACACACACCTTTTAAACCTCTTATGCTCCTTTGAGAACCCTCTTTCAAAGTCACTGAAATACATTTTCCTAGCCATGGCAGCTGAAATAATGGGCAATTGGGCATTTTTATATGACCCTAAGCATGATGGGATGTTAATTGCTGAATTAAATCAGGAACCACACCTGTGTGGAAGGACCTGCTTTAAATATAATTTGTATCTCTCATTTACTCAAGTGTTTCTGGCAGTTACCTGTATATTAAAAACAAAAAACTACGATTTAAGTGTGAATAGGCATTGGTCTGAAGCCAAAAAAGAAAGGAAATTCACATGAGTGCCACAATGCCTATTCCACCCATGCTCTACTAAGGTTTTCCAGCACACAGATTTGACCTACTACAGTAGCTATGTTGGTATTGTACTTCAAGCTACTGTATGTGTAGGCAGGTTGCTTAGGATTCAAACCTTCTCAAACAGCCTATTTCATACTCTTCAGAGGGATAATGGTCTTAAACTAACAGGGATTTTTAAATTATGTTTCTTAGATTTTAAAACAATTGAACAACCTCCTGGAAAATGCACAAATAATCAACATGTACCCATTAACTATTTAGATAAACATGTACCTTATAGTTTACTGAAGAAAGGCCAAGTACTACATTACCTGTAAACAACAGTGAGTTATCACTAAATATAAAATGTACAACCAAATGTACATTCATCAGATATAGTCAACTTTGTAAATACAATTCAGGGAATGCCACAATTGCTCTTGACAAGCTACAGGTTTATGCAGGCTTTTTTGTTCAAGCTCAGTTCTACCACACCTGATTCTACTATTTATGGTCTCGATGAACAGCTGAGGTCTTGATGAACAGATGAGTAGTATAATCAGGTGTGGTAGCGCTGGGCTTGATCAGAAAAGCCTGCATAACGCTGTGGATCATCAAGAGCAATATTGATGAACTCCTGTCATCACCAGACTTCCAGTTAAATAGGCCAGACTGTAATGGTTAGCGTCACCGTCTTTGGAACTGAAGGTCCTGGGTCCTCCTCTCGGAGGACACAGTTTTCCATTCTCTTTAGTGTATAGTTTTGACACACACTGCTTATTTGCATTTATTAGGTGGCTCTTAAAAGAGCCTTTGGGTTCGTGGAGTGGCAGGCAAGTGGCAGTGAGTGGGGTGGTGTGTACTACTGCATCCGTCTTGCTAGAACAGAGGAGAGACCAGCTCTCAGACTCTCAAGGAAGAAAGAGGTCGTTTCCCTCATCTGTGAGATGCACACCATCCCTACAGTAATGCACAGGGACACAGTGGTGCTGTATGGCAGAGTGGCTGATTGTGGGCATGCGCCTGGAAGCTTTTGTTGCACAATGTTTTTGTTGTTCATTTACGTGGATTTATCTTGCTTGCTTAAAAAGAAATCGACTTAAAAAGTTGATGTGTTGAAAACAGTATCATTTATACAGTTAGGTCATATACAGAGTTAGCTCTAACCAAGTTAGCAAGCATGGCATTTTATTTTAACTGTGCTCAGATTCGGTTGCACTAGCAAGCAATGATGTTATTGTTTTAACTGGGTGCACATGTGCACTCGCACAAAGTGCACTTATGTGGATGGCAAATTCGGATTTTTGGGAACACACTGAAAAGTAACTTGACACTGTATTGATCTGTCAGTGCAAATTTGGATTATAATGACAGGAAGACAATTGCATTGAGAGAGGAGGGAGCATACTGAATCAATGCATAAGGTAAGGTCTCTAATATTAGTTAACGTTAAATGAGCAAGCTAGCTAGCAGCTGTTATGTTATAAGCTGAAATCTGGTTGTACGTATAACGTTAGCGAGCAAGCCAATTTGACTGTATAGAGTAGCTAATGTTAGATGAGCAAGGCCCATTGCATGATGTATTATAAATTAGCCGTGTGGCAGTTTTCCAAAGTTTGGTGTTGACTGTGAAGTTTACTTAGCTAGCTAGCTAGATATATAGCTATGCTTTGTGGAAGAATGTGGGATATAAATTATTGTCAGACAAATATGGGTGTTGACTATGAACTTTAATTAGCTAGCTAGCTATGCTTTGTGGAATATTGTGTTTTTACTGGCTAACTAGCTGGCTATAGCAGGCAAGGACATCAAATCAAATCAAATCAAATTGTATTGGTCACATGCGCCGAATACAACAGGTGCAGACATTACAGTGAAATGCTTACTTACAGCCCTTAACCAACAGTGCATTTATTTTTAACAAAAAAAGTAAAAATAAAACAACAACAAAAAAAGTATTGAGAAAAAAAGAGCAGAAGTAAAATAAAGTGACAGTAGGGAGGCTATATATACAGGGGGGTACCGTTGCAGAGTCAATGTGCGGGGGCACCGGCTAGTTGAGGTAGTTGAGGTAATATGTACATGTGGGTAGAGTTAAAGTGACTATGCATAAATAATTAACAGAGTAGCAACAGCGTAAAAAGGATGGGGTGGGGGGGCAGTGCAAATAGTCCGGGTAGCCATGATTAGCTGTTCAGGGGTCTTATGGCTTGGGGGTAGAAGCTGTTGAGAAGTCTTTTGGACCTAGACTTGGCACTCCGGTACCGCTTGCCGTGCGGTAGCAGAGAGAACAGTCTATGACTAGGGTGGCTGGAGTCTTTGACAATTTTGAGGGCCTTCCTCTGACACCGCCTGGTATAGAGGTCCTGGATGGCAGGAAGCTTTGCCCCAGTGATGTACTGGGCCGTACGCACTACCCTCTGTAGTGCCTTGCGGTCGGAGGCCAAGCAGTTGCCATACCAGGCGGTGATGCAACCAGTCAGGATGCTCTCGATGGTGCAGCTGTAGAATTGTTTGAGGATCTGAGGACCCATGCCAAATCTTTTCAGTCTCCTGAGGGGGAATAGGCTTTGTCGTGCCCTCTTCACGACTGTCATTAGCTAGCTTATCTGTTTGTTTACACAGATGACTTCAGTCTTATATAAAGAACCTTCCCTGGCAAAACATAGCTAGGTAGCTTTCCTCGCTTGTTGGTTAGCTAGCTAGCCAACGTTAGTTCTCATCTGACTGGTAACCTATTCTGTGGTATAACGTTACGTTAGCTAGTTAGCTAACGTTACAGCTGCTGGCTAGCTAGCTACATAACGTTAGCTAATCAAAACAAAACCACATTCAGCTCACTAATAACAACCAACACATTTTTTATGTTGGACAATTATCTGTATGCATTTATTGATTAACCTCAGCTTGAATACCAACATATAGCCTAGGTTTGTCCTCAACCACTTCTTATCATGGCTGGCTGCCTGCTGCCTGGCTGATGGAGGCGGCGAGCTGTTTGTGTTGGCAAGTTGCTGAGCGACGAAGTTGATTGCCCGGTTTGATAGAACTCTGAGATTCGGCTGAAAAAATGTTAGCATTGTCAGAAATGCTACAAAAAGGTAGCACATCATTGTTTTTTAATGGACGGAAATGTGCACGTGAGAGCAATAAATTATACATTTCATAAAAACTGTTGCACCTACAAACTTAGTCTATCCAACATTGTTAAAGTTCAATGGTCACTTTATGGACGCTATAGTCTTGTTTTAATCCGACTTCTAGAATTTGAGCCAGGTAGCCGCAAGAAATACTCTTAAAACTCAATTGCTAATGACACTGTTAAAAAAAAATCTGGTGTGTGGTTCTCGGTAACGGATGGACGGATCATGACGAGAGGCGGGGAGGGGAGTGTGTTGTGTATCTCCAATTGAGTTAATTTGCGATTGGTGTCATATTGGCTTAGATATGATGGTAGGGAGATTTGAATTTAACAGTGAGCTTCAACCAATACCTATATAGACGAGACTATCTTTACGTTAATACCTGTATATAAATAGGAAATACAATGATTCTTCTAACATATGGTAATATTAAAGATTGTAATAATGAATTTTATTCATAGTTGGAAATTGGGAACTATAGTTCTGGCTACTATCCCGAGCCTCAGTATGAATCTGGATTGTACGTGAACAGAAAAGTTGGAAACAGTAGTCCGTGGGGAGACACTGGTGTCGTTTTCACATATGTAGACACTGGTATTGTGCTGGAGATAATGAAAATTGTCATTTAAGGCCCCTACTTACACTACTAACCTATCTTTTGAAAGCTTAATTCGATTTATTTTTCCCGCCAGGTCACTAGTTGCTGGGTGTTCTGTGTTGTTGAGTCATTTATAGCTTTGACTTGATTAATAATTTACAATAGTCCTCTCTGAGCTCCGGGTTTCAATTTCTCACTCGTTCTCTTCTGCTCCTCACCCAGTTTTCTGTGAATTAGAACATCCGCGTTGATACGGATAGGGGACTTTCGGGACTGTTGCCTTATGTTTCACAACCTATAAATAAATAGATTGAACGTTTCATAGGCAGCCAGTGGGAACACTTAAAGCATCAGAATGTCTGGACAAAACAGCGACCAGTTGCACCGCTCTACTTTGGGCATATATGCGGTGAGTGAGATTGGTTTGAACTCTTGGCAATTGTAGCGTAGCCCTAGATATAAACTACAACTTTAGGCCTAATTTGCAATGCACATTTGTTGTTTGTATCTATATACTGTTCAATTTGGCGCACTATACTTGTGAGCAGTACTGTATTCTATGGATAAATACAATATGACGTATGAACAGTAGGTATCTACCAACACATACAGCCTAAACTGTCCAAGATAAACACCACACCTTTCAATGTCTCACTGTGTGTGTGTGTGTGTGTGTGTGTGTGTGTGTGTGTGTATCTGTGGGAGTTGTTGTCTATTTCATCTCTACATCAATCTCTCTCCTAAGCTCTAAACTTTCACTCCACCTCTCTCTCAATCTCCTCTTGGTTTGCTGGTCAGTGTGGGTTTCTCTGTGGTATGTGTGTCGTCTCCTGTTCATCCTCCTCTCCCCTCTCTCTCCCCTCTCTCTGCTCTCTCTCTCCTCATCCTCTTCTTTCTGTGTGTCTCTCTCTCTCTCTCTGATCTCAAAACTACGTAAAAGCTATAATCTAGGGAAAAACCTCAGCCTCAACTCAAATAAAACTCTCTTCTCTCTCTCTCTCTCTCGTTTCTCCTCTCCTCTCGCTGCTCTCCTCCGTCCATTCTCTCTGTGTGTCTGTCTCTCTCGTGTGTGCTCTCTCCTCTCTCTCTTCTCTCTCTCTATCTCTTTTGTTTTGTGTGGCCTCTGCTCGTCTCTCTCTGTGTGCTCGTCTGTCGCTTCTCTCTCTCTCTCTCTGTGTGTGTGTTCTCTCTCTCTCTCTGTCTCTCCTCTCTCTCTCCTCCCTCTCTCTCCTCTTCTCTTCTCTGTGTCTCTGTGTGTTTCTCTCTCTCTCTCTCTTCTCTGTATTTCTCTCTCGTGTGTGTGTGGCTCCCTCTCTCTTTCTGTGTGTGGTGTCGTGTGGCTCTCTCTCTCTCTCTCTCTCTCTTCTTGTTGTGTCCTCTCTCGCTTCTCTGGGGTCTCTCTCTCTGTGTGTGTGTCTCTCTCTCTCTCGCTGTGTGTGTCCTCCTCTTTGTGTGTGTCTCTCTCTGTGTCTCTCTCTCGTGTCTCTCCTCTGGTCTCCTCTCTCTCTCTCTCTCTCTCTCTCTTCCTCTCTCCTCTCTCTCTCTTCTCGTCTCTCTCTCTCTCTCCTGTGTGTGTTTGTGTGCGTGTGTGTGTCTCTCTCTCTCTCTGTGTGTGTGTCTGTGTGTGTGTGTCAACAGAGCCTGATGGATCAGTTCAACCCAAGTCTACAGAAGCTAGTGTCTTTGGGAAACAGCTACATGCAGGCTTTCCAAGGTGAGAAAGAAAGGAAGCGAAACGGATGACGTTTCTGGCATGCATTTGAATACGACGAAGCATTCCAATACAATAAAGTACATTGTGACAAAAGAGTCATTCTCAGCAGAGTCATACAGTATATGACTCTGATTTCTACTAGAGGTCCTTCTTAGAACTATACAATGCTTCCACATCGTTGCTATTCAATCCCATCAATGAGAGATCCTTAGTTGTGCCCTTCCTTGCAGCCTATTCTCCCTTCCTTCCTTCTACACAACAAACCTCCTGGAAATAAATGCAAATTACTTTTCATTTTGTCAACAGAGGTTTCCCTTGTAAAGTACTGGCATATCACCTGGGAATGTTTATTACCATGAACCTATAGGCCATCATATAACCTACACATGTTTCTATTGGTTGAGCTGCTGAATGTAAATATGTCTGTCCATTTTATGTTCTGTCTGTCTCCTGTTCCACTCCAAAGCAATGAGATAGTAAATATGGGACATGTATATGTGGTGATTAATCTGTCGATGCATATTAAACAACCTTTCTGCAATTTGCTGCTTTCAGATTAATGTTTTTTACTTGTATGAGTCTAACTCTTGGATGTCACCAAAGTGAATCATATCAACTGAATATGCAATTCAATTGCCTGTTTGTTTCTCTGTGTGTGTGTTTAGCCCTTGCTGTAACCAGTGATGCTTACTTCAGCACCCTTGCTAAGATAGGGGAGCAGGCCTTGCACACCATGTCGTCTCGCTCTATTGGTGAGAACCTCTTCATTCACTGTGTGTGTGTGTGTGTGTGTGTGTGTGTGTGTGTGTGTGTGTGCGTACGTTACATATGTGCATGTGTCTGCCGTATGGTGTGTGTGTCAGGTCAGTTAAAAAGTATGAGAAAGGTAGAGATTGCAGGAACAAAGCTAGAGACACACAATCGACTCATGTACTGTATAGGTCCTTTGTGCTGTTTATGGTTGTGGTTATTACCCCAATCAATGCAGTGTCCTATCACCAAACCACACAGAGCAAAGTTTACCTGACAGGCAGCACATTGGTACACTTCCTTTTACCGTCACAATACCTTTGGAGCTTTCTTAGACGTGGGTGCATGTGTGTGTGTGTATGGGGCAGAGGGTGGACACTGGGTTGGGTGGGGTTGATTAGCAGATGTGGTGTATGCGTGTGATTGTTATGTTTTTGCCATATACAGTATGATGTTCCTGTTTGTATAGAGCAGAGTTATAGAGGGCATAGGTGTGCATATCTATGTTATTTTTACCCCACAGTGGAATATTAATTAAAATTAACTTTGTCCACATCAGTGTGACTGCAATGTAGATGCATTGTGAGATAACAAGACAACCTGAGCGTGAGTCTAACCATAACAACTGGTCCAGAGGAATAATGTAACCGGAGCCCTTGTTAGGGGGGGTTGTCTGTACTATAGCAGTGGGATCAGGTGACAGACAGACAGGTAGTCGTCAGAACCATATGAATAATAGAGTGTAACAGGCTGTGCGTCCTGTTTAGTTCATTTAACCCAGCCTGAACCTAGCCACTCACAGACACTCTGAGGCTAAAATGCGTTACAGATGTAGGATCTTAACTTGATCACCCTGTTACAGGAGAACTTTCCTGCAATGCAGGAAATGTAAAACTTGTACGTATTTGAGGTTTAAAAAGGCTTCTGAAGTTTGTAATTTCCACTTAGAAATTTCAGACATGATTTTACCTTACGAAAATGTATCACCCCCTACAGAAAAGTCCATTAATTATACATAATAATTCACATTTCCTGTTGCTGCAGGATTCTTTTCCTGCTGTAGAAAACTGGCTCAAATTAAGATCCTACATCTGAATGTAAGGTTGGCTATGGAAACCAGCATAACAAACTGACTCAGTCTAGTTGAGAATTTACTGATTGGACTTCTCCCACATTGTAAAACATTTCCTGTAAAATATACAGTAACTTACTGGCAGCAACGTGGAGTTGATAAACATCAACAAATCAACAAATAACCTTATCTAGCTATTGGCTAGCTATCTATCTTGCTAACCTTCAAATCTACTTTGAAACAAAAGTGTACACCTCACACACGGTTATGGGCTTAAGAAAAGAAGACACCTGTACTATGTCAGATATAGAGTTGAAATGTATTCAATTTTGAGTTTGCATCCCAATATTACACTTTATATACATCAAGGAAGACTGAAATATAACAAAACGGTTTGACATAGAAACACTGGATTTTCAGTGTGTCTTTTTTAATCATGTTTATTTATTATGAAATTATGAAGAATATTAATAATATGGATAACTATTGAAAGATAGCTGATATGCATTTTTCTACATTGTAACGGACACGGTGCAACTTTTGGTAGGTAGGCTGTTGGCAGGCTTCGGCTGCGGTACAATAAAGCCAAGTCAGCCCGTGCTCATGGTTCTCACAGAGGAAGTCAAATGATAGGTACAATGACTTTTCTCATGATCATGCACACCGCAAATGACATGTAACTATAAGATAGGGGATAATTCTGGATAGACACTTGTGGTTTCTAGCTAACGTTACACCAATCAAAGCAGTGGAGCATGTAGTGAAGCAAAACTTTAGTCCTCAAAACCATCTTGGTGCGACAGGGGGGAGCGGGTTTGCAAAATGTTATCATATCACGCAATTATACCATTTATAAAATGGTCAGATATATCTATATCTATATATAGCTATATATATATATATATATATATATATATAGCTATATATATATATATATATATATATATATATATATATATATATACAGTATCACACAAAAGTGAGTACTGTATATACATATACACCCCTCACATTTTTGTAAATATTTGAGTATATCTTTTCATGTGACAACACTGAAGAAATGACACTTTGCTACAATGTAAAGTAGTGAGTGTACAGCTTGTATAAAAGTGTAAATTTGAGTACACCCCTAAGTGAAATTGTCCAAATTGGGCCCAATTAGCCATTTTCCCTCCCCGGTGTCATGTGACTCGTTAGTGTTACAAGGTCTCAGGTGTGAATGGGGAGCAGGTGTGTTAAATTGGGTGTCATCGCTCTCACACTCCCTCATACTGGTCACTGGAAGTTCAACATGGCACCTCATGGCAAAGAACTCTCTGAGGATCTGAAAAAAAGAATTGTTGCTCTACATAAAGATGGCCTGGGCTATAAGAAGATTGCCAAGACCCTGAAACTGAGCTGCAGTATGGTGGCCAAGACCATACAGCGGTTTAACAGGACAGGTTCCACTCAGAACAGGCCTCGCCATGGTCGACCAAAGAAGTTGAGTGCACGTGCTCAGCGTCATATCCAGAGGTTGTCTTTGGGAAATAGACGTATGAGTGCTGCCAGCGTTGCTGCAGAGGTTGAAGGGGTGGTGGGTCAGCCTGTCAGTGCTCAGACCATACGCCGCACACTGCATCAAATTGGTCTGCATGGCTGTCGTCCCAGAAGGAAGCCTCTTCTAAAAATGATGCACAAGAAAGCCCGCAAACAGTTTGCTGAAGACAAGCAGACTAAGGACATGGATTACTGGAATCATGTCCAGCGGTGATGAGACCAAGATAAACTTATTTGGTTCAGATGGTGTCAAGCGTGTGTGCCGGCAACCAGGTGAGGAGTACAAAGACAAGTGTGTCTTGCCTACAGTCAAGTATGGTGGTGGGAGTGTCATGGTCTGGGGCTGCATGAGTGCTGCCGGCACTGGGGAGCTACAGTTAATTGAGGGAACCATGAATGCCAACATGTACTGTGACATACCGAAGCAGAGCATGATCCCCTCCCTTCGGAGACTGGGCCGCAGGGCAGTATTCCAACATGATAACGACCCCAAACACACCTCCAAGACGACCACTGCCTTGCTAAAGAAGCTGAGGGTAAAGGTGATGGACTGGCCAAGCATGTCTCCAGACCTAACCCTATTGAGCATCTGTGGGGCATCCTCAAACGGAAGGTGGAGGAGTGCAAGGTCTCTAACAAACCCCCAGCTCCGTGATGTCGTCATGGAGAAGTGGAAGAGGACTCCAGTGGCAACCTGTGAAGCTCTGGTGAACTCCATGCCCAAGAGGGTTAAGGCAGTGCTGGAAAATGATGGTGGCCACACAAAATATTGACACTTTGGGCCCAATTTGGACATTTTCAATTTAACACACCTGCTCCCCATTCACACCTGAGACCTTGTAACACTAACGAGTAACATGACACCGGGGAGGGAAAATTGCTAATTGGGCCCAATTTGGACATTTTCACTTAGGGGTGTACTCACTTTTGTTGCCAGCGGTTTAGACATTAATGGCTGTGTGTTGTGTTATTTTGAGGGGACAGCAAATTTACACTGTTATACAAGCTGTACACTCACTACTTTACAATGTAGCAAAGTGTCATTTCTTCAGTGTTGTCACATGAAAAGATATACTCAAATGTTTACAAAAATGTGAGGGGTATACTCACTTTTGTGAGATACTGTATATATATATATATATATATATATATAGTGTATATATATATATATATATATATATATATATATATATATATATATAAGCTCAGCAAAAAAAGAAACATCCTCTCACAGTCAACTGTGTTTATTTTCCGGGCTCTTCGCTGGCAGTAAATCACGCACAGAACGAGCAGTATGTCTGGTGGCATTGTCTTGCTGGAGGGTCATGTCAGGATGAGCCTGCAGGAAGGGTACCACATGACGGAGGAAGATGTCTTCCCTGTAACGCACAACGTTGAGATTGCCTGCAATGACAACAAGCTCAGTCCGATGATGCTGTGACACATCGCCCCAGACCATGACGGACCGTCCACCTCCAAATCAATCCTGCTCCAGAGTACAGGCCTCGGTGTAACGCTCATTCCTTCGACGATAAACGCGAATCCGGCCATCATCCCTGGTGAGACAAAACCACAACTCGTCAGTGAAGAGCACTTTTTGCCAGTCCTGCCTGGTCCAGCAATGGTGGGTTTGTGCCCATAGGCGACATTGTTGCCGGTGATGTCTGGTGAGGACCTGCCTTACAACAGGCCTATAAGCCCTCAGTCCAGCCTCTCTCAGCCTATTGCGGACAGTCTGAGCACTGATTGTGCATTCCTGGTGTAACTCGGGCAGTTGTTGTTGCCATCCTGTACCTTCCCACAGGTGTGATGTTCAGATGTACTGATTATGTGCAGGTGTTGTTACACGTGGTCTGCCACTACGAGGACGATCAGCTGTCCGTCCTGTCTCCCTGTAGCGCTGTCTTAGGTGTCTCGGACATTGCAATTTATTGCCTTGGTCACATCTGCAGTCCTCATGCCTCCTTGCAGCATGCCTAAAGCACGTTCACGCAGATGAGTAGGGACCCTGGGCATCTTTCTTTTGGTGTTTTTCAGAGTCAGTAGAAAGGCCTCTTTAGTGTCCTAAGTTTTCATAACTGTGACCTTAATTGCCTACCGTCTGTAAGCTGTTAGTGTCTTAACGACCGTTCCACAGGTGCATGTTCATGAATTGTTTATGGTTCATTGAACAAGCATGGGAAACAGTGTTTAAACCCTTTACAATGAAGATCTGTGACGTTATTTGGATTTTTTCGAATTATCTTTGAAAGACAGGGTCCTGAAAAAGGGACGTTTCTCTTTTTGCTGAGTTTATATATATATATATATACAGTGGGGAACAAAAAATATTTAGTCAGCCACCAATTGTGCAAGTTCTCCCACTTAAAAAGATGAGAGAGGCCTGTAATTTTCATCATAGGTACACGTCAACTATGACAGACAAATTGAGAAAAAAAATCCAGAAAATCACATTGTAGGATTTTTTATGAATTTATTTGCAAATTATGGTGGAAAATAAGTATTTGGTCACCTACAAACAAGCAAGATTTCTGGCTCTCACAGACCTGTAACTTCTTCTTTAAGAGGCTCCTCTGTCCTCCACTCGTTACCTGTATTAATGGCACCTGTTTGAACTTGTTATCAGTATAAAAGACACCTGTCCACAACCTCAAACAGTCACACTCCAAACTCCACTATGGCCAAGACCAAAGAGCTGTCAAAGGAAACCAGAAACAAAATTGTAGACCTGCACCAGGCTGGGAAGACTGAATCTGCAATAGGTAAGCAGCTTGGTTTGAAGAAATCAACTGTGGGAGCAATTATTAGGAAATGGAAGACATACAAGACCACTGATAATCTCCCTCGATCTGGGGCTCCACGCAAGATCTCACCCCGTGGGGTCAAAATGATCACAAGAACGGTGAGCAAAAATCCCAGAACCACCTAGTGAATGACCTGCAGAGAGCTGGGACCAAAGTAACAAAGCCTACCATCAGTAACACACTACGCCGCCAGGGACTCAAATCCTGCAGTGCCAGACGTGTCCCTCTGCTTAAGCCAGTCCAGGCCCGTCTGAAGTTTGCTAGAGTGCATTTGGATGATCCAGAAGAGGATTGGGAGAATGTCATATGGTCAGATGAAACCAAAATAGAACTTTTTGGTAAAAACTCAACTCGTCGTGTTTGGAGGACAAAGAATGCTGAGTTGCATCCAAAGAACACCATACCTACTGTGAAGCATGGGGGTGTAAACATCATGCTTTGGGGCTGTTTTTCTGCAAAGGGACCAGGACGACTGATCCGTGTAAAGGAAAGAATGAATGGGGCCATGTATCGTGAGATTTTGAGTGAAAACCTCCTTCCATCAGCAAGGGCATTGAAGATGAAACGTGGCTGGGTCTTTCAGCATGACAATGATCCCAAACACACCGCCCGGGCAACGAAGGAGTGGCTTCGTAAGAAGCATTTCAAGGTCCTGGAGTGGCCTAGCCAGTCTCCAGATCTCAACCCCATAGAAAATCTTTGGAGGGAGTTGAAAGTCTGTGTTGCCCAGCAACAGCCCCAAAACATCACTGCTCTAGAGGAGATCTGCATGGAGGAATGGGCCAAAATACCAGCAACAGTGTGTGAAAACCTTGTGAAGACTTACAGAAAACGTTTGACCTGTGTCATTGCCAACAAAGGGTATATAACAAAGTATTGAGAAACTTTTGTTATTGACCAAATACTTATTTTCCACCATAATTTGCAAATAAATTCATTAAAAATCCTACAATGTGATTTTCTGGATTTTTTTTCTCATTTAGTCTGTCATAGTTGACGTGTACCTATGATGAAAATTACAGGCCTCTCTCATCTTTTTAAGTGGGAGAACTTGCACAATTTGTGGCTGACTAAATACTTTTTTCCCCCACTGTATATATGTATACAGTGCCTTCAGAAAGCATTCATACCCCTTGACTTATTCCACATTTTGTTGTGTTACAGCCTGAATTCAAAATTGATTAAATGTATGTTTTTTCTCACCCATCTACACACAGTACCCCATAATGACAAAGTGAAAACATGTTTTTATATATTTTGCAAATGTATTGAAAATAAAATACAGAAATATCTAATTTACATAAGTATTCATGCCCCTGTGTCAATATTGTGTAGAACCACCATAGTAGAAGACTGTGAGTCTTTTGGGGGTAAGTCTCTTAAGAGCTTTGCACACCTGGATTGTACAATATTTGCCCGTTATTCTTTTTAACATTCTTCAAGCTGTCAAGTTAATTGTTGATCATTGCTAGACAGCCATTTTCAAGTCTTGCCATAGATTTTCAAGCGGATTTAAGTAAGAACTGAAACTAGGCCACTCAGGAACATTCAATGTCGCCTTGTTAAGCGACTCCAGTGTAGATTTGGCCTTGTGTTTCAGGTTATTGTCCTGCTGAAAGGTGAATTCGTCTCCCAGTGTCTGGTGGAAAGCACACTGAACCAGGTTTTCCTCTAAGATTTTGCCTGTGCTTAGCTCTATTCCATTTATTTTTATCCTAAAAAAAATCCATAGTCCTTGGCAATGACAAACATACCCATAACATGATGCAGCCACCACCATACTTGAAAATATGAAGAGTGGTACTCAGGGATGTGTTGTGTTGGATTTGCCCATAACATAACGCTTTGTTTTCTGGACAAATAGTTCATTTCTTTGCCACATTTCTTGCAGTATTGCTTAAGTGCCTTGTTGCAAACAGGATGCATGTTTTGTAATATTGGTATTCTGTACAGGCTTTCTTCTTTTCACTCTGTCATTTAGGTTAGTATTGTGGAGTAACTACAATGTTGTTAAACTCTGTAACTGTTTTCAAATCACCATTGGCATCATTGTGAAATCCCTGAGCAGATTCCTTCCTCTCCGGCAAATGATTTAGGAAGGACGCTTGTTTCTTTGTAGTGACTGGGTGTATTGATACAACATCCAAAGCCTAATTAATATGCTCAAAGGGATATTCAGCGTCTGGTTTTTTATTTTTACATATATACCAATCGGTGCCCTTCTTTGTGAGGCATTGAAACCCCCCCCCTGGTCTTTGTAGTTGAATCTGTGCTTGAAATTCACTACTGGAATTGAGGGGCTTACAGATAATTGTATGAGAGGGGTACAGAGATGGAGTAGTCATTCAAAAATAATGTTAACTACTATTATTTAACAAAGAATGAGTCCATGCAACTTATTGTGCGATTTGTTAAGCACATTTTTACTCGTGAATTTATTTAGGCTTCTCATAACAAAGGGGTTGAATACTTATTGACTCAAGACATTTCAGCTTTACATTTTTGTATTAATTTCTAAAATGTTCTACAAACAAAATCCCACTTTGATATTATGGGGTGTAGATCAGTGACACAAAATCTCAATTTAATCCATTTTAAATTCAGGCTGTAACACAATGTGGAAAAAGTAAAGGGGTGTTAATACTTTCTGAAGGCACTGTATACAGTATATGGGTCTTTCTATAAATAATGGCCCAATGTGTGACATTGGGATAAACATTTCAAAATGGTTTGAAACAAACAAACAGAAATGATGCAGTTTGACATGTGTACTTAGAGGACTAAAAGTGAATACAGTGCCTTCGGAAAGTGTTCAGACCCCTTGACGTTTTCCACATTTTGTTACGTTACAGACTTATTCTAAAATGGATTAAATAAATAAAAATCCTCAGCAATCTACACACAATACCCAATAATGACAAAGCAAAAAAAGGTTATCAGAAATGTTTGCAAATAAATACAAAATAAAAAACAGAAATACCATATTTACTTAAGTATTCAGAGCCTTTGCTATGAGACTCGAAATTGAGCTCAGGTGCATCCTGTTTTCATTGATCATCCTTGAGATGTTTCTACAACTTGATTGGAATCCACCTGTGGTAAATTAAATTTAATTGGACATGATTTGGAAAGGCACACACCTGTCTATATAAGGTCCAACAGTTGACAGTGCATGTCAGAGCAAAAACCAAGCTATGAGGTTGAAGGAATTGTTCGTAGACCTCCGAGACAGGATTGTGTCGAGGCACAGATTGGGGGAAGTGTACCAAAACATTTCTGCAGCATCGAAGGTCTCCAAGAACACAGTGCCCTCCATCATTCTTAAATGGAAGAAGTTTGGAACCACCAATACTCTTCCTAGAGCTGGCCGCTCGGCCAAACTGAGCAATCGGGGGAGAAGGGCCTTGGTCAGGGAGGTGACCAAGAACCCGATGGTCACTCTGACAGAGCTCTAGAGTTCCTCTGTGGAGAGGGGAGAACCTTCCAGAAGGACAACCATCTCTGTTGCACTCCACCAATCAGGCCTTTATGGTAGAGTGGCCAGACGGATGCCACTACTCTGTAAAAGGCACATGACAGCCCACCTGGAGTTTGCCAAAAGGCACCTAAAGACTCTTAGACCATGAGAAACAAGATTCTCTGGTCTGATGAAACCAAGATTCAACTCTTTGGCCTGAATGCCAAGCGTCACGTCCAGAGGAAAACTGGCACCATCCCTACGGTGAAGCATGGTGGTGGCAGCATCATGCTGTGGGGGTGTTTTTCAGCGGCAGGGACTGGGAGACTAGTCAGGATCGAGAGAAAGATGAACGGAGCAAAGTACAGAGAGATTTTAGAATGTAATAATAATGTGAATATCAAGGCCTACATTTTTTTTCTTAATGTGGTACTTTTTCTTTTAAATGTTTTTGGATTCTATATTAGACCCTATATTTACAATTATATAAATTATACAATTGTATAACATTTCCTTAGCTATTATACTCTAATTCCACTGATTTCAAAACTCGGTCCTCCAGAATTTGGAGAGCAACACTTATGCGTTTCTACTATGCAATATATTTTCCTTAAAGCCGCGTTAGACAGGATTACCTACCCATACTGACCAGCTCAAATAGACAGAAGCGTGCTACATGGCAGACCAATCCGAACTCATCTCTCGGCATATCCAGCTCACTCATTATCTCAGCCAATCATGGCTAGCGGGAAGGTTGCTGTCTTTTTCTGTGGCTAAACCAACTAGGCTCGTAATTTAACAATTGTATTCGTATTTACAGATGGCATGCAAGTGTGTTATTAAGGTAAATAAAAGTTCACATGTTTCAGAAGGCATTTCTGCTAAAAAACGAATTTCGATAAAAAAAAAAAGTTTACATTCAAATGTCTCTCCTGTGAAGTAGTGACGCGCGACATACGCCTAGTTTCCTGAAACGAGTCACATATACTGAACAAAAATATAAACTCAACATGTAAAGTGTTGGTCCCATGTTTCATGAGCTGAAATAAAAAATCCCAGAGGAGTATTTCTGTCTGTAATGAAGCCCTTTTGTGGGGAAAAACTCATTCTGATTGGCTGGGCCTTGCTCCCCAGTGGGTGGGCCTATGCCCTTCCAGGCTCACCCATGGCTGCGCCCCTGCCCAGTCGTGAAATCCATAGATTAGGGCATAAGGAATTTATTTCAATTGGATGATTTCCTTCTATGAACTGTAACTCAGTAAAATCTTTGAAATTGTTGCATGTTGCATTTATATTTTTGTTCAGTATATATACAGTTCCAGTCAAAAGTTTGGACACACCTACTCATTCAAGGGTTTTTCTTTACTTTTACAATTTTCTACATTGTAGAATAATAGGGAAGACATCAAAACTATGAAATAACACATATGGAATCATGTAGTAACCAAAAAAGTGTTAAGGTTAGGGTTTTGGGTAGGGACGTCCCAAGGATCCCGGATATCTCTGATCAGGCTATTTGGCTCATCTCAGTCAAGATTAGGAAATACTTTGCAGCTGTTTCTGATTAATAAACAATGCTATGCTGGTGTGGTGGTAACATTCCAATAAATCCCAGCCCTGAAATGAAACATAGGTTTAAAATAATTTGTATGTCATACTGTGTCATAGGAAAAGATACGGCATTCACACATATTTGCGCAAAGTGGTAAGTTTGGATTTGTCACTTCAAGCCAAAATATATTATACTACAACTTATTGGCTTAAGTTGATGTGCAACATATTGGGTAAGATCTGGCCATTGTCTTTCAGTTTGAAAAAGTGGATTTTTAGTGGTCTGGGCATTTAAGGATACACAGGTCTTCAAAATAATTGTAATTACAATCTCTGACCATATCTGAATAGTGCCAATACTGAGATATTGACACTAACTTGATGCCAGCTTCCTGTAAATTATTCTAATGTCAAAGCAATGAAACACAGTACAGTACTTTAAACTGTAAGAAAGTTATTTTTACAGTATTTTATTTTACAAAAGAAACACAGTTGTTGAATTTGTTCATATTCAGTCCTTTGGTCTTCACCAAGTAAATTAATAGGACAATGTTATCATTATAACAAAGAAAATACATTACATATCTCATAAGGCCTTATTTTGAGGCCTATCTTTACCCTAATACAGTGGCCTGAAACTCATGGTTTACAGGCCACATCAGGCCTGCAAATAGGGTTGCAAAGTTCCAGTAGCCTTCCCAAAATTCCCAGATTTTCAAAAATCCTAGCTAAAGGATTTCCAGGAATCTTCCAACAGGGATTTCTGGAAAACCAGGGAAATGTACCCGAATTTTGCAACCCTACTTGCAAGTCACTTTATGCTGGTTTGCAAAGTGATGTTTGATTCATATTGGAATCCAGCCAGAGTTAGGATATCTAACAGTTGAAAAATGTATGTTATTTATCTTTGTGTAGCATAAGATCAATTGACCAATCACTCAATGTACATGCAAAAACACATCTTAAAAACAATTCCCCAAAATGTACTTGCAGTAGAGCATGCTGGGGAAAAGTTTATTTGTTATCATAACTTTAAAAAAATAGAGTTGATGTGACTTCTCATTTAGTTTTGAGTCAGTACCACATAAACATTTGAAGTAATAATGGGAGCATGTGTGTGTTCTGACATTGTGTGTCTCTCTTTTTGGGATGTGTGCGCTCGCGCGCATGCACGCACGTGCATGTGTGTGTGTGTTGAGGGTGTGTGTGTGTGTTTCTTAATGTCTGCCTATGATAATAATTTCTCATTGTGGCTCACAGGAGATGTCCTGATTCAGATTTCAGAGAACCAGAGGCGACTCACCACTGAACTGGAAGGAATAGTAGGTTACTTTACCCTCCTCATCAAACAGCAGAACAGTTGCACTGCACTAGTCCTTTTACTGTATTAGAATTCAAAACGAAGAATTAAGAGTGTATTGTACCTGGGTTGTAGTTATACACCTCTCAAAACAACAACTTATTAAGATATTGTACTGTATATTTTACTAGATGGTGTGACAACACAGTTGATTCTATAATCTATCAGTTTGAGATGTGATTGTTTGGTTTACCAATGGTGTTTCAACTACTGCGATCATAATAACCATTCTCTGTGTTGCTCTAGTTCCGCTGGTTCCACACTGAGGTGCTGCAGGAGATGGACAACAATGTCAAACTGGATAAGGACTACATAGCAGTGAGTAGCCACTCTCCTTCACATACCCCTTTCACATACTGTACCCCCTTGTGTTGACAGTACAGAAGTAGTGTAGTGAAGAGCATGGACTGGCGCACAGACAAAACCAGAAGGGAGAAGAGAAGTAGTGGGCAGAAAGTTTGATGCTTTGTGTGAGGATCAAACAGTGTTATTTACTCCTGGACTATTCGTGTTTAATACTGGTCCTTAATGATATTTTTACGCGCTCAGTGTAAATCTGGCATTGGTGTAATGTGTCCTCCAGGTCAGCAGGAGGCGATATGAGATGGAGATACGGAGCCAGGCCACATCTTTGGAGAGGCAGCTGAGGAGAGGGCCTCACCAGGTCAGTCCTCTGTGTGTGTGTCAGATAAAGAGTCAAATAAATAAAAAAGAAAGATTAAGAGTGCCCCTTTACATTTCTGTAAAGTATGATGGTTTTGTTAGTTATATATTTACACAGTGTGTGTGTGTGTGTGTGTGTGTGTGTGTGTGTGTGTGTGTGTGGTGTGTGTGTGTGTGTGTGTGTGTGTGTGTGTGTGTGTGTGTGTGTGTGTGTGTGTGTGTGTGTGTGTCAGAGAAAGAGTATGAGTAAAACAAAAAAAAGTTATATATTTACACATTGCTTTTGTGTGTGCGCCCACAGGATGAGTACATTCACTTCCTGAGGGAGAGTCAGCGCGAGGCTCTGATGGAGGAAGAGAGGAGATACCGTTTCCTGGCTGAGAAACACTGTGGTCTCACTCAGTCCCTCATTTATCTCATGAACAAGGTAGTGTAGCTTAGTTCATTGTACTACAGTCTCATTTAGTCATAGTACAGACACACACAATAATATATGCCATTTAGCAGACGCTTTTATCCAAACCGACTTACAGTCAGGCATGCATACATTTTACGTACGGATGATCCCGGCAATCAAACCCACTATCCTGGCATTGCAACTGCCATGCTCTACCAACTGAGCTACAGAGGAACACCCTCTCCAATACTGTCATAAACCACATTCATCATAGAAGAACCTGGCTGGTTTCCAATATGACAACCTGCTCCTGGCCTTTCCATGTTATCTCCAGTTTGTGGATTTGAAGGGAATTAATAAGTAGACGCTCCTCCTAGTTTGTTGCTTTCAGTTTTTATTTGGAAAGAGAGTCACCCAAATAAGAGAGAAGAAAGTGAGTAGATTAAAGCCAATGAATGAACAAGGTGAATGAAAGGAATGTAATGTGTGTGTGTGTGTGTGTTTTCGATGGGCCAGACAGGGGCAGGGGGAGGCCTTCAGCAGATAGCTGATGGATGGAGGGACCAGGTCAACGCCACCAGAGGACCTGGATCCCGGAATCCCTCTCGCCTGGGCCAGGACAACACGTACAGAATGAGGGAGGAGGACAGGGGGAGCCAATGGTCAGGCAAAGAGGAGCAGCCTCTGGGAAGAGTGCCCTCCAGAGGTGGGGGCATGATACTGGATATCTACACTACAGTATACCATACCTATAGAGTTAGATAGATGACCCATCTTCGTGCGCAGTTGACTACTTTGGTGGAAGCCATCAATAGCAATGTCCATGCTAAAACAGGTTATATCCATCTGGAGTCCTATGTCTAGCTCTATGACCATACCATAAATAAATACTAGACCATGCACATACCATACCCATGGTGTTCAGATGTCTTTCCTCTCTTATGACCTGCCCTCCTGGCCGTCTGATGTTCACACATCCTCTCCTTCTCTTTCATCCCTCCCCTCTCACCCTTCACCCCCCCATCCCCCGTCCCCCTCCATCTCCCCTCCAGCCCCCTCACCCCAGAACATCCGTTCCCGGTCCAGTTCATTTGGGGAGTCCCTAGGTCTGGGTGGAGGTGGAGGAGGGAGACTTATGAGAGCTCTGGTGTCCCACCCCGCTAACTCCAACAGCCCCACCCTGCTGCCCTTCTCCCGGGGGGAGGTGGTGAGCGTGCTGGTGCAGGAGCCCCGTAACGGCTGGTTCTACGGCCGGGCTGAGAACAGCTCACGGTGAGAGAGAGAGAGAGAGAGAGAAGAGAGAGCGAGAGAGAGAAGAGGAGAGAGAGAGAGAGAGAGAGAGAGGAGAGTAGAGATGAGATGGAGGGCGCGACTTACGATTTTTTTGATCATCTTTCCCCCCGGGGGAAAAAGGGTTAAGTTCTTTTTTTAAAAAAAGGGGGAGGAAGAGGGGGTAAGAAAAGGTTTCCCTCACAGAAACCTTGTAAAAAAAGAAAACTTCAAAACCCTTCGAGATTCCCTCCCCTAATATTAATTGGTCTTTGGGGAAAAATGTACAGAAATTTAAAAAAAAAACCATTTTAATATTATATTTTTTCCCTTCCTTGCTTTGACATGTGTGAATCAAAGCTGCCATAGCTCTCTATCCTTAAATAAAATTGTTCCTTTTTTCTCTCCCCCGTTCCCCCCCCAACCCCGGGCGGGTTTTCCCCGCTGCCTTTTTTGGGGTCACTGGAGGAGGCCCCTAGATAAACCGGGTTTCCAGGAAATCCACTCCCTCCACTGTTTTTAAAAAGGGGACACTTCTCCCCAAAACCGGGGAAAATTAAATTAGCATTTAAAACATTGCTAGTGAGCTATGTCTATCGTGTTTTATATTCTAAAAATAGCTAATGAGTTGCTAATGCTAATGCTGTTTTGACTTTTGGTGACCTTTGACCCTTCACTAGCTCCACTCTTAGGAGTTTCCACAGTATGGACAACCTGCTGGACCAATCAGGAGGCAGCAACCACGGCAGACACCCGCCCCCGCCCCCGCCCCCACCCAATAGACAGACAGAGATGCGTCCAATCACACCCAGCATGGAGAGAAGGGCGGAGTCTCACTCTGACAACAAGGTAGCGCTGCCTGGGTGAATGATCACTGAGGATCGATGTTGGCCATGAAGGTCTTAAAGTCTAGTGTTTACAGTGTTTACTCTATGATGAGCCTGCTGTACTACACTAACTTGGTGTTTCTAAAAAATCAATGTTGGTTTGTTATTGTTAACATGATACTCTGAGGAAAGTTTCTGAGTGAAAGTCATTCCTATTCAGGTTTTTGGTGAGGCATATCAAGTAATGAAAAGCTAGTTATAGTAAAAGCTCGTTAGAATGGAGTTAAAGCTGAAAAGGTTTAATGAAAGCTTCAAATAGAGAAGTTAGTATTAAAAATCTGCTGCATGTTTGTCCTCCGGCCAGCAGGGGCACTGTGGCAATGTGCTGTTCTCTATGACGCCACAGCCCTCCTTCTGGTGGATGCAGGGGGGAAGCTCCAGCTGCTGACAGTGTAGGGGGGTGAGGAGTGTGTGAGTGTGTGTGTATTTGTGTGTGTGTTTGCATGGTGTTGGATCTTTGCATGGTGTGGATTGCACACCCATAGATGCTCTGCCCCCCTCACTGGGTTTCAGCTCTATATGTAAAAAATGTTTGCATGGGTTGGAATAGACACCTTTAAAGTTGTGTTCATTCCTTCCCCTCCAGAGAGGAGAGCGCCATGGTGGACCTATGCCAAACCTCTTCCCAAAGTAAGGAACAACAATTGCAGTTCTCATCAGTCCTATCTGTGTTTATTCATTACTAAATAGTGATATCTAGGGAGATCGTTCAAGATGGACGTCTAAATTAGATGTTTATCCATGTCCCGAGGACATCGGGAAATGCCTTCAAAACCGGCCACTAGGGGCAACAGTGAACACTATTACCATCAAGTAGGCTTGGGTTTTGCTAGGGCGTTGTGGACGGGTATGGTGGCTGGGTGTAATCCCATGATTCTGGATCAGAAGGTTGTGTGTTCGATCCCAGTTGTCGTCACTGTTTAAAAACACATATATAACTTATCACAAACCTTAACCCTTATCTTAACCTCTACGGGATCGGTGTCCCGTATACGGGACGGTTGAGCTAACGTACGCTAATGTGATTAGCATGACTGTTGTAAGTAACAGCAAACTTTCCAGGACATGGACATGTCTTATATGGGCAGAAAGGTTAAATTCTTGTAAATCTAACTGCACTGCCCAATTTACAGTAGCTATTACAGTGAAAAAAGACCATGCTAATGTTTGAGGAGAGTGCACAACAATAAAAAACTTATCACGGCAACTGGTTTGATACATTCACCTCTGAAGGTAAATAATGTGCTTACATTCAATAATCTTGCTCTGATTTGTCATCCTAAGGGTCCCAGAGATAAAATGTAGCATAGTTTTGTTTGATAAAATCTATTTTTATATTAAAATGTAGGAACTGGGTTCTACAGTTTGAACCCCTGCTGTCTCTGGCTCCACACACACCCCGCCTGGCCATCTAGATGTATGAAAGTTAGTGTATAAGCTAATGATCCATCATGTATGACATTCCTGGGAGTGTGTAAACTTACATTTTGTATTACCATATCATTTTTGTATGTTCTCTATAGTTATGTACTTGAAAATGTATCAATTGACCAATTCGGCACATTTGGGCAGACTTGCAATAGTCCAGTATTGCAACGCTTCACTGGATCAATCTGAAACTTTGCACACACACAGCTGCCATCTATTGGCCAAAATCTAAATTGCACCTAAACTGCAATATTATATTGTGGCCTTTCTCTTGCATTTCAAAGATGATAAAAAAAGCATGTTTTTTTGTTTGTATTATTTTTTACCAGATCTAATGTGTTATATTCTCCTACATTAATTTCACATTTCCACAAACTTCAAAGTGTTTCCATTCAAATGGTATCAAGAATATGCATATCCTTGATTCAGGTCCTGAGCTACAGGTAGTTAAGAGTTGACATTTTAGGCGAAAATTGAAAAAAAGGATCCTTAAGAGGTTTTAAAGCGGCAATCAGCAGTAGAAATAATAACAAAGCAGCCTCCCTGCCTGGTTCGGTAAAAAGTTGAGGGATGGGGCTGGAGAAATGTAATCACTCTCGAATTCATAGACAGACTATGGATGCAAAGACTGGTCATCCATGATATAAAAATTATAGTTTTAACCATGTTAACATTTTCTTTGTTTACAAATGTTGAAGCAAAATAAGCTTATAGTTTAAGTTATATTGAGGTACGACAGTTGAACTAAGCTCATGAGGCATTTCTAAGTTATATTCTTCAAGAATCAATGGGTATATATCATGAATTTATAAGTCAAAAAATGGATTGATTGCCCCTTTAACCATTCGGAATGAGTGCCTAAATTTAATGTTTTAACCCCATCCCAAACCTTAACCCTTACCTTAACCATTTTAATGAGTGCCTAAACTTATCCCTAAACTTCGAATTTTGACGTTTGGAGAAATGGAACGATTCAGAGCAGCAGGAGTCAACCCAGGGTGTCAAAAACATTTGGAGCAACTTTGAAATAAGTGAGACTGTGAGAGCTTGTTGGTGATATTGTAATGTGTGTACACGTTCGAATGTCTCTCAGCCTATCACACAATGTTATGCAAATGAGTTGCTGTATGTGATGATGCTGGGGAATGCTGGGTCAGTTAGTTTTGGAGAGGCGCCGGTGTGCGTTGGGTAAGTGCTGCTTTGCACTGTGTTCATCCAAATAAACAACAACTTGATTATTTCATGGGAAATCATTGTTCTGGACTGTTAATGTTAGTCAATAAACTACGTGTGAGTTTCGGTGGCCTTACATATCTCTGTTCTCTCACTCTGTCTTTGTTGTATAGGGGCACTAACCCTTTCGCCACTGTCAAGCTGAAGCCCACGTCCACCGATGACAGATCTGCTCCACGGCTCCGTCGGTGAAGAGGTCACGCCCTTGGGAGGTACTGGGCACGTTCCAGGTCGACTACATTTCAGTTGTTGCACTGCATCAACAAATGGCTTCATGCCACTTTATCGACTGTGCAGTCGACTGCTATATCATATGATTCACTGATCTGTTAAATAAATACCTATCCAGGCGTTGTGAGATCTGGCAGGTGTCTGAAATGTAGTCAGACTAAAACGTGTCCACTACCATGCAGCGGGGGTTTTAGGGTTGATGCCCTAAAACTGACCAAAATCTTCCCAAACTGTTGAAAACTGTCTTAAAACTGCCCCAAACTTTCCATAAGCACCCCCTAATACCAATCTTGTACAGTTATTTAAATATATTATGGAGTTTATCGGATGACTACAGTGATAAAAGAAGTTCAGGGGGCAATGTAAGATGCCAGAAACAGATGCTTGGTACACTGATTGACCTGGCAAGTGCATTAATCATTTTTATTTCATTAGTGAGACAAATCTTTGTGGGCGCTCATTTATGCACATTTCTTCAGAATCAGGGATATTTAGTGACTTCATATACATGTCAGGTACAGGAAATATCAGGTATCAGGTACAGGTAGAAGTAGTTGTGTTTATCAAAGCCTTTTGCATTGTTCTTCAAGTAGCACTTTTGTTTAGTTTTGCTTGTACAGTAACAATATGCCAATTTAAACCAATACTTCACTTTGATTCGAAACTACAGTGAACCACAGTGAGGTAATCTTTCTCTTAGGAATGCCATGTAGATAGATTGTTATGACAAGTGAGTTTGAGCTACTAACTTAACCGTGCTGTTTTGTCCAGTGCCTTTAGTAAATGTTCTATAAGATTTGTATGTGTTTGTTTGCTCATGCAGGCATTAGGGTGGCCTACTACTATAGTGAAGAACCCGAGGGTTGTCAATTCTAATCCACCAATGGGGATACTTAACCTAAATTAGCCTTAGAGTGTACTCAGCTATGTAAATAGCTGACATGTGAGAGTGTTGCGCTAATGTAATAGCTCTAAATAAACAATGACTTTTTACTTTACTGCTAGAAAAAAAATGGCAGCTGCTTTTCACATTGTTTCAAATTCCTTTAATCAGACACAAATACATCCTCTGATTCTGACGTTTTTTAGTTGCTGTTGCTGTCGATATTTTACACATTTATTTTCTAGTTATTGAGGGCCAATCGGTAGTGCTAAGCAATTGTGTTTTTGTTTTTTTTTGGGGGGGGGGGGGGGGGGTTGAACAACCAATTGACCGACGTCGGTTCAGTTATTTGAGTCCAATGCGCCGTTTCTGTAGAGAGAAATCAAATAATTCACGAGAGAAATCAATTCAAGAACTATGTGCGACGCTTGGCTGTAGTATCAAGCCAATAATTAAACCTAGTTCAGTGCAGAAACGTGGTAATTAACTACAATGACCATAATCTATTGCGCCTGTACTTTCCGGCTTGGCTGTTAGGTTAGATACACACAGACCAAATAGGCCACATGAGAGGAATGTACACAACACAGCAATGCGAGGGACAGAGATAGTTTGTGAATGTATGCCTTATCTCCTTTGAAGAACTAGTAAAATGATTTAGTCAGACTGCTCTGCAGTATTATTAGACAGGCTAGTCTAGCTAAATAGGATGACTAAAGACAGTACAGTACGGGGAGCATAGAGATAACGTTAGATGGTCTGGCTGGCTGCTACTGCCTGAGCAGAGATGAGATGATGACTTTAAGGAATGAAAAATAATAAAGTCATCAGATAAAAACGAAGTAATATACACAACTGAAATATTTATTATTATCATAGTAATTTTCTATTTTGTCTACCCAATGTTGACCTGACAGAGACAATGGAATATTTGTAATGTTTTGGCAATTTCATTTTCACTATTTTTGGCTTTGAAATGTCCATTAAAAAGCTTTAAATCATTTTCATTGTTTTATTTTGAAATGCATTTAATGTGTACCCCTTTCCTGTAGTCAAATGACCAAATTGCCCTCTAGTGGCCTCATGGGTGGAATGTTATTAATAGTTTTCATAATTTCCCAATTAATAAACATACTTTATTTTAAAGCCGCCGAAAATCTATGTCAAACGGTTTTGCTACATTTCCGTCTTCTGTAGTGTATATAAAGTGTAATATTGGGATGGAAACTCAAAATGGAATACATTTCAACTCTATATCTGACATGGTACAGGTGTCTTATTATTTTAAGCCCATAACCATGTGAATGAGGGGTATACTTTTGTTTCAAAGTAGATTTGTTTAAGACTACCAAACACTCTGTGTGACCCTGATTTAGCCCACTGCAGTAAAAGGCAAAATATATTATCAAAACTGAAATCGAAAACCGTGAATACTTTTTTGTCATCGAACCGACCTCAAAAATCACTAACCGCTCAGCACTACCAATCAAAGAAGAGAAGGAGAGGAAGCATTAAAGGAAGCATCGGAGTGAGTCGTTGTTCTTGAGGCATTTCTTTATTTTATTTTATTTTGTTCTTTCACAGCTTGACCTCTTTCATCTTTTGGTGTGTTTTTACAACAGCTCATTACCAAAGGAGAGAGGGATGGAAGGATGGGGAGGAAAGGAAAGGAGGGGAGCAGTGCCAGAAAGTTGAAATAGAGATAGAAGAGAGAGACAGAAACAAGGGACAGAGAAAGAGAAAGAGTGGGGGAAGAGGGAGAGAGAAAAAGGGGTGAAGTAAAATCAACTCAAAGGAGATATGACTTTCTCTCATTTTGAAATATCTACATGATTATTTTAACTTGAGGTTATTGGCCTTCCAGGCGGTCTGATAACTATTCATAAACAGAAACACATATGTTTGTATAAAAAGGAACAAATAAATAGGATGGGGGTGGGGGTTGTGGGTGGGAGTGGGGGAGAGGGGTAAGTTAGCGGGGTGGGGGGGCGGGAGCCACGACCCCCTTCCTCCAGTGCAGTGGTAGTAGTGCGCTTGAGTGGGAGAGAGCTAGGTGTCAGTGAGGGTAGGTGGAGGAATGAGGGGGGCCTGTGGGGGTCGGCTGCGGACTGGGAGAGGGGGAGTGAGTATCGGGGCCGGGTGGTGGAGCACTAGTCGGTTTAGGGAGGTGTCTATTACTCGTGCACCAGGGCAACGAACTCTGAAAGAGAACAAGAAGAGACAAGAGGTTAGAACACTCTGTAGACTCTGGTCTGATTACGCGGTGATGACACAGGTGAGTACGTGTCCGTCGGTCAGAGAGATAGTTTTCTTACCGTCGATGCCGATCATGCCGTCCCCGTCCTTGTCGGCTTCGTTTAAGAATGCTTTGGTTTCTTTATCGGTCAGGTCCCTGCCGTCTGAGGCGAATCCCTTCAGTACGAACCTATGGACAACAGCAGGAGGGTAGAGAGACTTGAGTACAGACAGTACAACAATTAGGAATGCTCTGGTGCCTAAACAGATAACCATGAGTGTTTGTATGTGTGTGTATGTGGGATGTGGATGCATGTCCACGTGGTCACTGGTCAGTCACCACGCACTGTACTTTGTTTAATAAATCAAGGAGTGTGTGGTCAGTCAAAGTGTCGGTGTGTGTCTCTCTCTGTCTGTGTTTTTCTGTGTCTCTGTGTATGTCTGTCTGTCTGTCTCTGTGTGTGTGTGTGTCTCCCTGTGTGGGTCTTTTACTTGAGCTCCTCCTCCTCTATGAACCCGCTGGCGTCAGCATCCAGTACCAGGAAGGCTTTCTTCACATCCTCAGCCGACTTGGCCTTCAGACCCACCATCTCAAAGAACTTCTTATGGTCAAACGAGTCAGCCGCTGCACGACATGATAGACACACAGTTTAGTGAACACACACACACACAGAGTACAGGCAGACATGGAGGCAGGCACACACACACACGTACACACACACATAGGCAGGCACACATGCACGCAGACAGACAGGCACGCACGCGTGGATGCCTGCACACACACACACACAAAGTACAAAAAACAATATGGGTGACTGCCTGGATACAACACCCCAGAGGCTAAACGTTAATGGCAAACAATCCTTAATTAAGAAATTACAATTTTTACACTATGATGCGGCGTTTGTCTGTGTGTACATGTGTCTGTGTGTGTGGATTCAGAGCATGTGTTGTGCCAGTGATCACATCAACTATATAGGTCAGAGGACTGTGCCAACCCCAGGACTAGCTGGCATCCTCTGGCAGATGTGTTACACAATACCAGTTATTATAGTATACCGGTAATAATTATGTCAGATATGTGTTATTACAGTATCATAATTATGTAAAAATGTGTTGATCCCATAAGGCTCTGGTCAAAAGGAGTGTACTATAGGGAATAGGGTGCTATTTGGAACACATCCAATGTGTATGTTGGACCAATGGGATCTGCCTGTTAACACTTTAGTATAGAGAACACATATTAGCCACTAATGTGCAATACAAGAAGTGAATTATACCTTTACTAAGCATTTTAGCCATTTATTTTGCCTATATTCAGTGTTTACACATTATGGGATGGTTTCCCATACACAGATTAAGCCTAGTCCTGGACAAAAAACTAAATCTTTCAATGGAGAATCTTCATTGAGAATGCTTCTTAGTCCTGGACTGTTCCTAAATGTGATGTAAGAAAAGAACATGACGTTTGGTCACCTGCGAATGCGTCTAGGGCTTTCTTGATATCGGCAGCGTTGAGAATGCTGTTCATCGCCATCTCGGCAGCTGGAACGTTAAGAAAGAGGGGGAGAAGAAGGAAGGAGGAGAAGAAAAGGGGGGAAAGAAGTTAAACACAAGGGTACATGAGAGCAAAGGGAACAGCGAGAGACATTCTCATATTACACTGCTGAGACTTGTGAACTGGAGCAAGAAATCAGGGCGAGAGCGAGATATTGAGAGAACGAATTAGAAAGGAGGGAGGAGGAGAAAATGGAGGAGGGGGTGGGGGGTGCTCAGTTCTCCATTTAGTTTGTGTGTGTTTTTTAGGAGGGGGTTGACGTTGGGGGTATTATAAGAGAAACGTGGCAGGTCTCCAGGCATCTACTCAGCAGGGTTAGCGCCATAGGATCTGAGCCTTGTGCTGTGTCGGACATACCATAGAACAAGAACAAGAGCTAGAGCTGTGGAGCTAGGAGGCCGTTGGACATACCACAGAACAGTTAGAGTTGTGTAGAGCTACAGAGTGGGACGGGGGCTCCATATGTCTCACACTTTGAAAGGCGAGCTGTGTGTCCAAACCCCTTGGCCCTGTGTGTCCGACCTTGTGTGCCATTGAAGTCAATTGCTTCATACTTACAAATGTATCACCTTACCCTTCCTAACCCCCCCCCAGCCCCCAGCCCCCAGCCCCAGCCCCCATCTGTCTCCCAGAAGAGGAGAGGAGAGGAGAGGAGAGGAGAGGAGAGGAGAGGGAGAGGAGAGGAGAGGAGAGGAGAGGAGAGGAGAGGAGAGGAGAGGAGAGGAGAGGAGAGGAGAGGAGAGGAGAGGAGAGGAGAGGAGAGGAGAGGAGAGGAGAGGAGAGGAGAGGAGAGGAGAGGAGAGGAGAGTTGGGGAGCGAGTGGTGTTGAGAAGGAGTGATTGAGGAATGGATTAGTGGGTTGAGGTGTGGTGGCCGTGTGGTGGCCGTGTGGTGGATATCATATCGAGCTATGATATCGTGCGAGGGCAATTTATACATCTATCTTTGGATTCATTTACATCTGTAATGGCCCCCGAGGGGTGGCCCTGCTCCAGGGCGGCAGGACGGCAGGGCCAAGTAGGGTGCTCTAAGATATATTCCTAAGACACTGCTGCAGCAAAGGCTCATGGGATAAGTGAGAAAAAGGCCCAGCTAGACATATATAGTACAATAGAGCTCAGCAGCTTGTAGTTCTAAAATATGGAAATGCGTTGCCTCTGGTTCGTTCGACCGTTTCTATGGGGGAAATTAATGGGGAAAGAATGGGGTTTTGGGATAAACGCCGAAAATAAGGTCTGAGGTTATCACAGGCTTAGGAGATCTTATACGTTTTGTTCTATGAGATAATATCAGTTAGTTAACATGACCTTTATGAATTATTAAGCTTTTCCCTTACAGAAAAAAACACACAATTTCTCTGTAATGGGGATGCCAGCAAGCTGCATTTCCTGCTACACAGCCAGGTCTGTGGCCACAGATTTATAGACAAGAATATAAGGTTAAAGGTACACATAAGGTACCTTCAGAGGTACACATAGGAATTCACATGGTACTGGCAGGGCCGGCTTAATGCAGGGGCTTAATGCAGGGGCTTCAATTGTGTGAGTCAGGGGCAGGGCCCAAGAGGCAAAATTATTATATATATATTTTTTATCCAACCACAGGAGCCCGTCCTCAATGTAAAAAAATACACCAGAGAGCATAATTTAGCCACAGAGGAACAATAGTTTCCCAAAAATGACTGTGGATAAAAAAACTTCCAAGCACATACAGGTAACTGCCAAAATAAATGAAACACCAACATAGTGTCTTTAAAGGGTTTGGCCACGAGCTGCCAGAATAGCTTCAATGCGCCTTGGCATAAATCCTACAAGTGGACCTAAACCATGCCAGGAAAATGCACCCTAGACCATAACATATTATTTGTATCTCTTGTTTATTCAAGTGTGTCCCTTATTTTGGCAGTTACTGGTTGGAAAGGCCAACATTTTTGACCAGCATGCGCACCAAATATACAGCTTGTTGCCCCGGGGCCTAATATTTCTTAATCTGGCCCTGGGTACTGGTCGATATCTTTTAGGGTACATGTGCGCATAATCTATTATAATGTACATTTTTTCTATGTAAAATCCCTACTGCACTCTAAAAAGTACTGGGTTAAAAACAACCCAGTGCTGGGTAAATAGCGGACAGAACACGTTGGGTTATTTTTGACCCAGCCAGTTGGGTCCCTTAGTTGGGTTATTGAGCTATGATCCACCAGGTCAGATCAGAATACAGAATACTGGAGGCGTGGCTTTCAGTTCTTTTTGGCCACCTGTGAAAGTAAAAAAAAAAACTATGGATTACATTAAAAAAGACCCATCTACTGGCTCAACCCAGAATGAATGTGAATTAAAACCCAACTGATGGTTAAATTAAGCCATGTTTGGGTAATCCAAAGGTGTAGCCTATTTGTTGTGTGGCGTGGAGAGATTTATTTTTGGCCACCCGTGAGAGCAAATGTCATTAATGTTCATCATGTTAAGTTTGTACACTGTAAACTTCTGTTTTCCTCCACATTACATATTTTCCTTCAGATTATATATTTTAATATCAAAACAAAGTGGTAGCTACATTGGGATAAGCATAGGCACTTAAGGAATTAACATTAACATAGTTTGGGGCATGGTTTAAAATATGTTGTATTTGTACCAACCGTCAGTGGAAATGTTGTCCGAGTTTAAGTGGTTCATCATTATGTTGATTAATGTCGAGAACCTCTTTTGACACTGTCTGTTCTTCAATTGTTGTAAGAACTGATGATGCTCAAGAGCTGTGTTAAGTGGTTGCTGTGCAATTTCCAGTAGTTTAACGTCAGATGGTTCAAAGAAAAAGTATATTTAAGTTTTAATAACTTATTGTCAACTATCTGCAAATTGGTTGTTGTGAAGTTCATAGTAATTTACTGTTGCTAATCTGTTTTAACAGGGATGATATTGCTGCTCATGGGAGACCAGAAAGAGCTAGCTGAAAGCCTCCAATAAGCTACGCATGCAATATTATGATAGGCTGCAGCTGCTATAGTATGCTGCCAATTAACTAGTAATGTTGCATGTTGTCAACACAGTGAAGGCACAGTAGGTTACTGGCATTAGTGACGGGGAAAGGGAGCATTGAGCATTTCCAGCCAATTGTGTCAGGGAAAAAATTGTTCATTACTCGAGGCTTTGATCAACACGTTGTACACTAGTGGTACCTGCTGGTCAAAAGAATTTAGAACAGCCAAATTATTATAGATGAATCCGCACACACCATAGCGCGTGAGCAGGGTAGCCTTTTTTTAACCAAACCAATACCGAACCGATCTGGTGGTTGTTCGACAAAACTAAGCTTTGGACGTCATTGATCACGTGCTTCTGATAAAGTGATACAAGCATCCGCACACTGCTTCAAGTAAACTGCTTAGCGATTTCGACGCATGTCTCGGAGCGCCAGTCTCAAACGTAACATCACTAACTGGCATGTATTGCTAGTGGCAGCAAGTTGCCTACTTCAACATTTTGCGAGTAAGTTATTGCAAATTTTACAATAACTTACTGACAAATTCACAGCAACTTCTAACAACAAGTTGTCGTTAACTTACTGGAAAACACACAATAACCTCTTTACAGTGCAGATCATTAGTGACCTATGCAGAACAGACAGCGTCAAAGGAGGTGCTCAACTTGCATTGACATAACCATCAAACACTTAAACTGCTACAACACTTCCACTAACTGTTGGCACAAATACACATACATTTGACCATGCCCCCAAATATGCTAATGAACCCACCAGTACATTTTATTTGTTTTCACTTGATTTTTTCAGGAGAGGCCATTGCACAGTACATTGCCCCCACCTATCGAAGTGCAGTGACGTTCGTACCTTATATTCAAAATATTGGGGAGAAAAATGACCCTTTATACCTACAGGTACAACTACAT